AAATTCCCAGTAAGAGTCACCTCCTGTGATTATATAGGTGTGTAGCTCTTTCAAGATCATCTTCTTTGTATTACAAGTTTTAAAAGCAAGTTTTGATAAAGGACATCTTATCTTTTTTTACCTTGTTTTGGGTTTTAACATCTTCACATTTTTCTCAAAAAAAATTCTTTATTTTTACCAGCTATAATTTATATCTCTTATCCTATGTCTTCCTTAAAATTGCCTACCTTTTATTAATTACAAAGCCTATAACTATATTTAGAGTATTTAGAGAATTTTAAATATATTTCCATATATTTATGGAATCTTGTGAGTAGCAATATTTTCCTGATTTAAAAAACAATATATTCCATGAAAGTAGGATTTGTTCTCTCACCTCAACTCAGTATCCATACAGTGCTCACCTGTGAACAAAGAATAAAAACTATCTACATTAAGAGGGATCTTTAGAAAAATGCTATATATGTTTATTCAATTACAGGGAGCGTACTTCCCAAAAATGCCTAGATTTCTCCAAATCTTAATTTCCCACAGATTTTTGCTCCAAACTAACAGATATGTAAAAGCTAAGTCACAGATAACTCTCCTGAGGATTGCAATCTGAAAAGTGTGGTTGGGAAATCTGTCCAAATGTAGGTTACTCCTCTGCTAGAGGTAAATACTAATCAAAAGGCAACAGCCCTTATCATCTTGTCCATTTTCCAGGCTGAAATGCTTCACCTCTTAAGAATGCATTCCCTTTACTGGAATGATGGGTGTGCTCTGTGCTCTGACTTGGTGGAGTTTGCCCACTGCTTAAACCACAGACACCTTTCATTAATTTTTTTTCTCCTTTTCAGAGTCCATCTCTTCTCCTCCTTTCTATCCTTGATGTGAAATATATAACTTGATCCCTGCAATGGGACTTCACAGTAGTACACCTCCTTACAGAGCATTTCAAAACTCTGAAACCACACACCTTCGTGGAGCACACTGGAAGCAATTATCGAGGAACACATTGTGGTTTAGAAAAGTATTAATTTCCATGATTTGTAGGAAACACCAGAGGAATTAGTAACTAGAAGATCATCAGCAAAATGTCAAAACTTCTTCCAAAATCAGAAAGCCAACTCCCAGACAAGAGGATTATTAAACACAGACTTTCCCTGTTTTGTTAAAGTACCAGCCTTGTAATGGGAACTCTGAGATCTAGCCAAAGGCTTCCCTTGATTCTCAGTTCTGTCTGCAGCTGCAGGGCCAAGACATTTGTACTGTGTTTGCCTCAAAGAGAGGCTGGAGTGCCAAGTTCAGAAATATCTGTAAATCTCTTGGAAAGCAGTAGTGAGAAAAAGGTGTAAAATGCATCATCTGCCCCCTGAGAACCTCTCCAGTATCAGAGAGCTTTGAAGCTGTCCAGGAGAATCAGACATATTACATGAAGGAAGCACTTTAGGGAAAGCCTGGATGTTTATGTAACTGTATCAAATAGGCATTTGCTGTTTTCCGAACAATCTGTCAGTTCTCCTGAGCTGCCTGAATGAAGGGTGAGGTTTAAAACTCATTTGCAAAATATGTGTATTTTTTTGCTCTTGAGCTGTGACTCACAGGTGACTTGTAAACTATAAGGATAGGTCTCTAAGAGTAATAAAAAAAACCCAAACACTGAAGAGAAAGAAAAGAAAGCAAATTCCTCTTGTGCAAGGTGCAACAGCACCATGACTCACAGGGGGCCAGGGGAGAAAGCTGCTTTTTGACCTCCATCAACCCTTTCAGAATTGAAAGGTCTTCTCTATTCAAGGCCATCATTTTGATGTACCTGCTCTATAAAATTCCTAAGAGTTTGGGAGCTGGATATTACAGGAGGTCCTCTCTTCCCCTGAAATCAGCCCATGTTAAAAAAGTGCTATGGTGGTGTTACATCCACGCTTTGGGAAAATATAAACATCAAACTGATGTGCACAGCAGTGGGGCTGGATGGAATAGAAAGATGCTCAAATGGACAATGGCCAAAATAAAGTAAATTTTTCCTCTTTTTTTTTTTCACTTTCTCTCTTCTATTCATTAATCAATCTGAAAAATAGATTATATTCTTTATCTAAAATTACTTTCTTCACAAGCAAGCCAAAAAATATATGCATTACCGAACACTGTTTCAATACACATTTCTGAAACTACTCTGACTCCTTTAATTCCTTAACACTGTAAACATACCCTGATATATTTATATGTGGTGATAGCAACCTGAGATCAGTGCTTCAAAATAACCCAAAGAGGAATTGCAATGTGTGTGTGCACAACAGACACAGCAATCTCTGCTAGAGGCTGAAGAGATGACATTAGAAGGATACTGTCCATTATGCTTATTTGGTTTTAATCCAGATGGCTAAAGCATGAGGTATAGAGAGTCATGCAAATGTGGTGCTTTTTTAAAAATAAACTCAACAGTAATTATCATTGAAGCAACTAGACACAGTCCCACATTACTTTCTAGATGAAATGGCCACCAAAGGTAAGCACACATCTAGCTATCCCCACTTCAAGCACAACCAGTCAGACCCCAAAAAGGTCTAAGGATACCTACCTAAGGATATCTGTTCAAGTATGGTCCCCTCATCATTTGCCCTCCCTCTCTCAGAACACAAGTTTCTGTTCTGCTGAAATCTATGACTAAATTCCAACAGATTTGCAGGACTATGTGACCCCTGGGCTTTGAAAAGCAGATGGCATTAAGGTGTCCTCCTGAAGGCAATGGATATCTGCAGTAGCTATAGGGGAAATGTACATATACACATAAAGGAAAGGGCAAGAGTAAGTAAAAATGTCAGAGGCTTTTTAGTTTGTTATCAGCATATTGGTGGATCTCTCCCTCTCTCATTATCTCTTAAAATCTCCTTTGTGTCAAAAGAAAGTTTTCAGCTCTACTGCTGCATTTTCCGTTACACAATGAAGAACTCCGAATTTTAATTTCATTTTATAACAGTTCATTATGGCTTCTCAATTTAGGCACCTGCATCAAATGAATTAAGAGGGAATGCAATGGTTCCTTTGATGCAGGGCTGTACAACACTAAGCACCAAGCTATAAAGTAAAAGGAAAACAGCTGAATCATCCACAGAAGAAGTCTACATTTGCTTTCAGTAGGTGGGTCGAGCAGAGACTGCAGGAGATGGCACACAGCAAACTAGGTAGAATAAAGGCACAAGGTTTATTTTGCCTACAAACCACAAAATCAAGTGATTCCTAGTCATATCCCAAAGCAGACAGGAGCAAAATGGCTAACAATGGGAGGTTTTGTAGATTTTAAAACAATACGAGCCAAATGTTTAAAAATCAGCATTTCAGCTACTGGAAAGTTGCCTGCATGGTGGTAGGTCCTAGGAAATTTGCCCATCCATGAGTTCAGTAGCAAAACCAAGCTTCTGGTGCACATGAAGGTTTGAGGAGACGAAAGCTCACAGCCCGTGGTTCACCTGAATTGCTACTGTAACAAACTATTAATTATGTATGAATACAGCACTGATGACACTGATGGCATTGCATGCATTTTGACACACAGCAGTCCCCCAAAGGAAGTGTTCTCTAACTGGTTCTATATCCTTCAAAGACAGACATCTCCTTGGTACCTAGAAAGGAATATATATAATCCAAGTGGATGCTCCTCTGAGCAAATTTCCTTCCTGATCTCTCAACAGGGCTCCTGCTCAGGACCATACACCTCCTGCTGCAGAACAACCAAGGAGGATTTCTGGTTCTCCCAAAGGCACTTACTGTTTGGCCTGGCAGCAGAGAATGCAAAAAAAGACCAAATTTACAGGTCCAATAATTTTCAATAGCAACACATGGCCCTAAAACAACTTCAGCAGGATATTTCCAGACAGAAAAAGAAACCATCTACAGGGCAACTGTGATAGAGAAATTGTATTGTAACAGAGAAACCCGTGATGAAAATATATGAGGAATTTTCACTAAATTATTCAAATATAGGAATAAGCAAATCACACTTTATTGGCAGGTCACTGTTCAGTTACCCAGTAAAAATAGCTGCATGTAATAGATTTGTGTTGTTTATACAAATGTTAACATAAAACAGATTAATAAATTGTCTGAATTAGAGGACTAAACTGCTCCAATTTAAGGTAAATATTTGGTAAATCACTGGTGCAGCAATACATGCAGTTATTAAGTGCCCTGAAGTCAGACCAAAAGCCAGATGAAAAATTTAGTGATAGAAAGACTGCCTCTGAATTTCCAATTACATTAGTTAATATTAATGATTTCAGTTACTAAATAAATTACTCCAAAAGTTTTATGCCATTTTAACCTACTTGTCTCTACCTCAGATAGCATTTACATTTATGTCTAACTTCATTTTAACACTGAAGCACCTGAGTACTCATTTTAGCAGCAGGTAAATGCCTAAAAATGCAGCAGTGACTTCTAGCAGGGGTGTTAATCCTTCTCAGAATTCAGATATACCGTAATTTCCACTGTGCAATAAGGCAAGAGAACTTGTGTCCACAGTGAAACTATCTTCAAGAGAATATAAACTGATCTAAACCTTCTGTGTATTCACAATCAACAAAACCTCATTTGGAAGCTAGGAAGAAAATGGGCCTTACTTCCCTCTTTCTCTATTACTTCTCACTAACATTTCAATTTGCAGTCGAATCCTCCAGTTTGGGTGCAAAAGCACTGTCTTAATGACAAAGCAGGAGCAGGCAGTATTGAAAACCTCCTAAGTGCAGCTGTGTTAGCAGCACAGCCAACTCAAATTTACATATGCAAGAGTATTTGTGGTCTAAACACCATTACTTCAAGGAGCTTTTAGGGAAAGCTGCCCATGCTGTGGAACCACACACCAGATTATCTCTAGGTAAAGACACAGAGTTGGGCATTTTAGAGGAAGACAGTGTTCCAGTACAACCCTAATAAAGGTGGGAAAAAAATAGCAGACTGAAGGGTGCTCCCACAAATGTTTTCCTGGTAAGGAAAAAATAGGCTTTGAACACCACATAACTCACTCATCAGTGGTAGCTCCTCCATCACAATGTTCTTAGCTGGATTTAGGCAACCTGGAACACAAGCTTCCAATTCTCCTATCATTTTGTCAAGCCAAACTCCTTTCTTGTGGAAACAAGAAAGCTGGAATTCCTGGAAACAGAATATCTGTCAACCCCATGAGTGTATCTATGCTTAATTAAGAACAATGAAAACTATGTGCTGGGAAATGTAAATAAATGATGCATCACTTTCACAGGTGCTGGTCTTTGATTACTCGTCAAAAAGGATGAAAAACGTTTGGTTTTCAAGATTTGGACTAGTTTTAAAATGCCAAATTATTTGTTTGGTTGATTCATTGTTTGACTACAGCCAGCAGCAGCTAGGTCTTCTCCCACAGGTAGGCAAGAGATCCAACACAAGTTTTGCAGGAAGCACGGCATGTTGGTCAGGGGGTAATTTCACCATAAAGCCCAGAAACCACCTCCTCTCTATGTGCCTACAAGCACCAGAACTTTCCATGCGTTATGGCCAAAAGCAGCTTGAACCTGTAGCAGTAAACCTCTAAACCATTCAGGTAGAGCTATATATTTTTATTGAATGATCACCACTGTCTAAAATGACGAGGGAATCATTTGCCGTGTAAGTCAGTCCGACAGGATAAGAAAGCCCAAAGCTAATTAGAGGGTTAAACATGGGAAACTCCCCTGGTTTCCCTAAGCATATTACGGCCTGGCTACAGACATCCGTTACTATAACACGACCTTCTTTGTCAAAGGCCACAGCCGTAGCATACATTTTGGAGGGGAAAACGAGGTTCAGACCGAAGCTATCCAGCTGGCCGATGAGATCCATCTCCGCACTGAATATCTTCACTCGGGTGCTGCCCTTGTCCAGTCCTTGAGCTTTCAGGTGCTCTATTACCGCGACAGCCCCCGAGGTCTGGCAGACCGCGACCGCTCTGGGGCTGACGAGCTGAGCCCGGATCATCTGACACTTCTTCAATTCCCCCCTTCCAAAGTCGGCCGTCAGGCGGTAGAGAGCGCCTGCCTCCGAGTCGGTCAGGATTACTTCGCTCTTGGGGGTGGCATCCAAGCCCCAGGGCAAACGGAAGCCTTCCCGGACCGCCAGGACCCCCCTTCCCTCAAAATCGAAGGCCTTCACGGAGCGGTCCCCGCCGTCGGTGACCACCACGTGCCCGTCCGACGTGACCGTCACATCGAGCGGGTACTTCACGTCGTTCCCCGCGTCCCCCCTCTCCCCGAACCGCTGCAGGCAGAACCCGCTGGGCCCGAAGACGTGGATCCTCTTCTTGCCGTCGTGTGCCACGGCCAGGCGCCCCGTGCCGCGGCAGGCCGCCACCCCGGTGGGGTTCACCAGCGAGCCCCAGCCGCCCAGGCACAGCCGCAGCCCGAGCCCCGCGGGGGCCGGCGCGGCCGCCCCTGGGCCGCTGCTCCCGCCCAGGGCCCGGGCGAGGCGGCCGGCGGGGCCCAGAAGCTCCAGCAGCTGCAGCAGCGGGCGGCAGTCGCTGGTCTCGGCGGGGCCGCAGGGCCGCCGGCAGAAGGGACACTCCAGGCGCCGGCTCAGGGCCCCCACGCAGCCCCCGCACAGGACGTGCCCGCAGGGCAGGTTGCGCGGCCGCCGCTGCCCGTCGGGGCCGTACGGCTCGAAGCACACCCGGCACTCCAGCAGGCTGAGCTCCACCTCGTCCTCCGCCGCCATCCCGGCCCGAGGAGTTCGGACGGGATCACCCGGAGGGGCCCCGGATCCCCCGTGCCGAGCGGGGCGGGCGCTGAGCGCGGCCCAGGCGGCCGCGCGCCCCCTGCGGGCCAGCCCGGGCAGGGCAGCGCTGCCGGCGGGACGGCGCTGAGGGGGGGCCCAGGCTGCCCACCCTGCCGCGGTCATGCAGCGTTCCCGTGTCCGCCAGAGTATTCAAATATCCAGCAGAATGTTCAAATATCCACCCGAGCCTTCCTGTCTCCAGCGGATTATTCATATATTCACCAGATTATTCATATATCCAACCAGATCCTCACAGACATCCAGTTACCAGGTTACCACACCACTGCTAGTGCTATTTATATCCCTACCAGAGTAAGGAAGTAAGCCAAAGCTTCGCAGAACCATAGAATGGTTGGAAAGGACCTTGAAGATCATCTAGTTCCAACCCCTCCTGCCATGGGCAGGGGCATCTGCCACTAAACCAGGTTGGTCAGAGCCTTATCCAACCTGGCCTTGAACACTTCCAGGGATGGGGCATCACAGCTTCTCCGGGCAACATCTGCCACTGTCTCACCACCCTTACACTAAAGAATGGCTTCCTAACATCCAATCTAAACCTATCCTCTGTCAGTTTGAAGCCATTACCCATTGTTCTGTCACTGCATGCCCTCATAAAACGTTCCTTTCCAGCTCTCCAGCAGGCCCTTCAGATACTGGAAGGCGCTATAATGTCTCCCTGGACCCTTCTCTTCTCCAGGCTGAACAACCCCAACTCTCTCAGCCTGTCTTCATGGGAGAGGTGCTCCATCCCTCTGACCATCTTCACTTCATCAGATTTCTCTTGCTGTTCTGGAAAGCTTTAGAAAACACAGTGAAAATATTTACATTCATCACTGGTGACACCTTTCTCAGACAAGTAAGTACACACGTCTTGTAAGGTACAATGAACAGCGTGTGCTTGTTCTGCAAGGTGTATTTACAGTGTATTCTCAGAGTAACTGCAGGGTACACACATGGCAGAGGCATCTTACACATCCCAAAATGGCTCATTTGGCACGTGGCATTGCTCTTGCCAGGTTGTCACATGGGAGTCCTGCACAGGACATCACAGAGCATGCAGCAGCCTCATGTCAAGCACCTGGCCTTCTGAGGCTATCGTGTGTCTGGAAGTCTGAGATAAAATTCAGCAGCTCTCACGTTGCATCTAGAAAAAAATTTCTGGATTCAAAGAAAGGAGATGCTTTATCCTGGTAGCTGTGGTAGTGACCAGAAGTGAAAACATACAAAAATAACAGCTCTGAGCTTGCCCTGGCCCGCTGGCTACATCTCTTCTCTCTGTAGACCTGACCTTGAAACATGAGTATCTACAAGCAATATTGAGTGTTGCGATGGGCTGTAGCTGTGACGACTGCTGTGCTAAAATCATTAGACCCATTTGCAGCTCTAGGACTACAACAGTCTAAAAAACCTCATGGCTTTTACTTGCCTTCTATTCTACATCGCAATCATACTTTCCTTTCAAAACAAGCTGCAAAGGGGAGAAGTTCCAGTGCTCTGTCACCCTCAAAGTAGAGAAGTTTTTCCTTATATTCAGATGGAACTTCCTGTGTTTCAGTTTGGGCCTGTTGCTCCTGTCCTGTGGCTGGGAAACACTGAAAAGAGTCTGGTCCCATCCTCTTGACACCTGACATTAAAGATATTTGTAAGCATTAATGATCTCCTCTCAGTTTTGTCCTCTCCAGGATAAATAATCCCAGCTCTCTCAGCCTGTTCTCATAAGAGAGATGCTCTAGTCCACTAGGCATCTTCATAGCCCTCTGCTGGACTCACTCCAGTATGTCCAGGTCTCTCGTGTACTGAGGAGCTCAGAACTGGACAGAGCACTCCAGATGTGGCCTCACCAGGGCTCATTAGAGAGGTAGGATTGTCTCCCTTGACCTGCTGGCCACAGTCTTCCTAATGCATCCCAGGAGACCAGTGGCCTTTTTGGCCACAAGGGCACACTGCTGTCTATCTTGTTGACCACCAGGTCATTCTCCGCAGAGTTACTTTCCAGCCTGTGCTGATGCCCGGGCTTATTCTTCCCCAGGTGCAGGACCCTGCACTTGCCTTCACTGAGATTCACTAGGTTCCTCTCTGCTCAGATCTTGAGCCTGTCCAGGTCTTGCTGAATGGCAGCACAGCACTCTGCTGTGTCAGCCACTCCCCCAGTTTTGGATCATCTGCAAACTTACTGCAGGTATGTTCTGTCTCTTCATTGAGGTCATTGATGGATAAGCTGGACACGGCTGGAGCCGGTACTGAGCCTTGGGAACACCGCTTGCTCCAGCCTCCATCTAGATTCTGTGTCACTGATCACAACTCTCTGAGCTCTGCCATTCAGCCAGTTCTCAATCCACCTCACTGTCCATTAACCCAACCCACACTTCCTGATCTTACCTATGAGGATGTTATGGGAGACAGTGTCAAAAGCCTTGCTGAAGTCCAGGTAGACAACATCCACTGCTCTTCCCTCATCTACCCAGATAGTCATTGCATCATAGAAGGCTATGAGATAAGTCAAGCATGATTTCCACTTGGTGAATCCATGTTGACTACTCCTGATAACCTTCTTTTCCTCCACATGCTTAGAGATGACATCCAGGATGGGTTGTTCCATCACCTTTCCATGGATTGAGGTGAAGCTGACTGGCATGCAGGCTCCTAGGTCCACCTTCTTGCCCTTTTTGAAGATTGGAGTGACACCGTCTTTTCTTCAGTCCTCAGGCACCCCTCCTGTTCTCCACAACCTTTCAAAGATAATGGAAAATGGCTTAGTAATAACACTCACAGCTCACTTGGCACTCTTTGAACTCTCTCACCCGACAAGCCCTGTGCTGGTTTGCCAGCTCATAGCTGCGCTCTTGAGTGAGGGAGCAGCACACTTTTGAACAACTGCCAGGACATTTTCTCCTCATACTCTCCCCTTTACTATCACCCAGTTTGCTTCCCTCCAGTCTTCCTTGCTTGATGGTAAATCCCCCTTGGCAGCTGCTGCCTTGCCTTGCCTGCTTACTGCCAGCTCTTCACTGGACTTATATTCACAACTAACAGGGACATAAAGTAGCAGTTTCCCACCTCTCTTGCCCAGCTGCCCAGTCTGGTGCAAGGCCAGCACTGCGGAAAACAGTGTTTGAACAGCAGCTGGCCACTGCTCCCAGGGCTGCCAGCTGACGAGGCTGATCCACAGAGGGCTGGGCAGACAGTGGCAACAGCCAAAAAGGAACAGGAATGTTTCTTTCTCCCAGCTCAGATGATTTGAATTGATATGTAAGAAAAAGATATACTTTAATAATGCTTGTTTGTGCGTGGAGTTTAAGAAAATCTGTGCACATGTCAAGGCAGTGAAGGCAGCTGCGTAGAAGAGCTGACTTGGTAAGAAAAACGCACAAAAACGTTCCACAGGTATTTTTCTGTACACTAGAGCCTGCTTTAAGAATGCCCCATTTTAAAATGTGAGATAAAAATAAAAGGAAGATGAGAGGTAAGTTATTTTAATTAATTTTAATCAAGCTACAAACTTTAGCATATATAGCACCTCCAGAAAATAATCTAATCCCCATTGTTTGTGCTTTTCTGAGAAGTCATCGACTTTTTCAAGACACTGAATTTCACAGCAGCTGCCTGAAAAGGAAGAAAGAGTAACAAATTAGTGAATGATTAGTTACTGAAAAATGAAAACTCTCTAGAAAAAAATAAATCTTATCCACAGATTTCCTTACGCAGTGACATAAAGGCACTTGAGAAAACTTATTTGTCTCTTTTGCACTGGGATGCAACTGTCTTTACCAATGACTCACTGCAGGAGTCTCAGAAAGTTGTAAATTTAAAAGTGCAATTTTAAAGCATATCAGAAGAAACTTTTAAAATTAAAATCCTGCCATAACGCCAACATTCATTATTTTGATGGATTTGAGTTTTATGTTTTTAGCATTTTCTTTGTATAGCATGTTACTTTTTTTTCTTTGTCACAAAAATACAGCAGAAGATGTAGCTGGTTGATGAGGTGCAGACAAAGACAAAATGGTCAAGTGGGACTAAGACAGCATCTACAAGATCACTGAGTGCAGTACAAATCCTGGGAGAACAAAAAGATGCCACAGGGAGACAAGAGTCTCCTTGTCTCTTGGGTTTTCTGCATAGCCTTTGGAGAGCTGAGAATTTTCCTTGACTGCAAAATCCCTGTGGCTAAATGGTATTTATTTTTCCTGGTATTTTTCCATGACTCCAGCCCTTAGATAAGAAGCAAATGACTGTATCACTCATCACAGGGCAAGGTAGAGGCATATAAACATGTTTACTCATTTTGGAAAAAATTCCTAAGGGTTAGCTGAAATATTACTTACCAAACAAGCTTTTAATTTCAGATTCAGGAACATAAAATGGTGGGCCTGAAAAAAAAGGGGTGAAGCGAATCAGACAGAAGACGCTGGAAGAAGACATTTACACTGCAGTGGGAGAGCCAGCCCCTTCACTCACAACACCAGGCCCCAGGATGTAGCACCATCAGCAACAACCAGAAGACATGTCCAAGAACTTGTGACACCTTGGTGGGCCACCAGACAGCTTCAGGTGTTGCTGCTGCATCATCTCCAGCTACAACCAGAGAATCATGAATGTGACGTGGATACAACACTCTCAGTGTGCTGTGTGAATCTACCCTACAATCTCTTTATACTACAGTGGCATAATTAAAGCGAAAAGTTGAACAATGCAAGAAGGAAAGCAATGAATTAAACTATTGTTGCCTATGAAAACAAGATTTAATTTTTTCAGGGATAATTATGTTGAGAGGCCCAAAAGCAGCAAGAAATCTCTTTCTTTTGTGTGTTAATATTAACAAAAATATAATCTTTTAAAATACCTCACACTTCAGTATATAATATAAAAGGAAGGAATACCTTATAATTTTATAAAATTCCACCTCTTCCAAGTATATTCAGAGCATGGTAGTGGCTGGGAGAGAGGCACAATATGGACAACACGTTTGGTTGCAAGCATTGGGTAAACAGCGCAAAGCTGATGTTCTTGGGAGTGTTTCAAGCTCCCGAGGCCAGACAGGATGTTACTAAGCATTCACACTTCCAGCTTCATTGTCACAGCCACACTTCCAGTTTCATTTTATTGTTAATATACCATGTCTGTCCTCAACTTACCCTTAGCATGTCTGAACGCTAGAGAGAACCCAAATTTAGTCTCAAGCTTGGTCAACATCTAAAATTTTTAACATACAGTTATACTGGCATGATCAGCTAACAAAGCTGGAGAAGATACAAACATATATATTACACCTATCTACAATTTGTATTTAAGCACATAAAATCATAATGTGAACAGCAGAAAGCTCTCACCTTTGTGTTTGTTTGGATCATATGAAACTGTAACAAGGAGATAAGAAGAATTCTTCTCCATTAAGTTCATCATCAAACTGGCATAGCTAAAAGGAGAAAGTTATACTTTATTATTTTTGTAAAGCATTCAAGCATAGCATTCAAAATACTCAACAAAAGAGGCAACATGCACTTCCGTGCATTTGAACTGAACTGCACAAAGACTAAACAAAGTTTGAATTTCAGGAGCATGAAATTCATGCTACACATGGAAAACCTCAAAGGTTTTGAGGTTATGTTTACCCCTCACAAACAAGCATTTATCCTTGTTTTTGCATATTCAACTCAAAACTAACAGACAAACCACATGTTCACCTGTCAGTCTAGAATACAGTGCACAATACAGTACTGATCTTTTAAAATTATTGTGAATTCAAGATTATGTATCTAATTAAAAGATCATGGGAGTGGGTTCAAACTAAATTTGAGTTGGCTATAGGCAAGAACGAAAATTTGGAATCAAGGGAAGTGAGAAGAAAAAGAACACAGAGAAGAGAAGCAGATGTGGTGAAAGGGAAATAATAGAATTCAGATGAGACTTGCAGCTCTGCTTCTAATTGGTTGGAACAAACCACATATTTTCCCACCAAGAGGCAGAGTGGCTTCCTGAAGGAAGTTCACAAATCTAGAGGATGACACTGCGACTGCAGCAGATGCTTGCGGTAGAGAAAAACTTGTGTAGGTTAGTCCTTTAAACAAAAGAGGACTCATCAACAAGTGGTAGGAGGAAAAACTTGTTGCTGCATACAGCAGAATAAAGACAATAACAATGCAATTTACTAACCGTTGCCTGTCACATGGATTCACAGCTACAAGAGCTCCTCTGTCCCAAACTCCATCGAACTTGCCAACTATTGAGCTACAGGGAGATAAGGAAAAGGCTTAAAAATAGTAAAAAGGCATCTTCATCTTTGACCAGATATCTTTGTGAAGTCACAAGGATGCAGATTCCCCACTAGCTTTTTGTTATGGTGCAGCATTTTCATGATCCACACTAATGTGATCTGGAACGCAAAAAACCTCCCTGGTACATGGCCTTGCGATAGTAAAAAGGTGCTGGAACTGGTCGGTGTTTCCCCATCATTAGAGGGTGCTGAGACAAGGCAGGGAGGAAGGAATGTAGCTTTAACACATTCAGGCAACCCGTCTCAGTGTTTGGTAATCACAGCCTGCTGTCACCCTTGAAGTAATACTAACATGTACTCAGCACATCAACAGTTCTTGACCACCTTCTAAAACCCACGCATGATTTCAAACGCAGGCTAAGGAAGGTGCCTAATTGCTTTACTATCATTGAACTCAGCACATCCAGTAACTTTTGACACCTCAATTCCCAGCTACGTGCCCAGGACAGTTAGCTTCAGCTTTCAATTTGTTTGATGTTGGAAAAGGTAAGTTACACTGCTGTTTGCCTCAGTGTAACACTATCACTGACATTAATTTTGCTTCTGGTTATGCTGGCAGATGGCTTCAGTGACCACCCAAAACCTGCAAGTGGGCAAGACTATCAAGAGGTGCCTTTATTGAGGGGTGGTAAAAGCAGTCAGGGTGACCTTAAGATAAGAATATTTGGGGCATAAGAAGAGCCTTGTTTCTGGTAATTACTAAAAAAGGAGTTTAGATAATAAAGTAGTAATAATGTAAATTGCATAACTTTAAGGAAAGTTTGAATAGGTTTACTTAGTGAGAAAAATATGGCATGGAATTGTGCAATACCTTTTGGCCTACTGGGAAGGTGTCAGAGTCCAATTGCACCACCTCTGCCTTCACTTGTGTACTGGTTTTGGCTGGGGTAGAGTTATATTTCTTCCTAGTAACTGTCATGGGGATATGTTTTGGATTTGTGCTGAAAATAGTGTTAATAAGACATGGCTGTTTTAGTTACTGCTGAGCAGCTCTTACACAGCATCAATGCCTTTTCTGCTCCTCACACCATGACACCATGATGTGAGTAGGTTGGAGGTGCACAAGAAGCTGGGAAAGGACACAGCTGAGACAACTAACCCCAACTGAGCAAAGGGATACTCCAGACCCTATGTTGTCATGCTTAGCAAAAAAACCTGGGAGGGAACCTGCAGGGGAAGGAGGGGTCGCTGCTTGGGGACTGGCTAGGCATCAGTTGGTTGGTGGTGGACTACTGTTTTCATTTGCACCACTTGTCTTTCTGGGGTTTTATTTTCCTCTCTCTTTGGCCATTTTTTTTTTTTAATTTTTCTTACGATTTCTTTTTTAAATTTATTTTTAATTATTAAACGGTTTTTATCTCAACCCAGAAGTTTCGTTTTCACTTTTACCCTTATGATTGTCCCTATCATCCCATGACAGGGACAGTGGGCAAGCAGCTGTGTTGTGCTTAGCTACAAGCCAGGGTTAAACGACGACAACTTCTCTCTGCTCACTGCTATTTTCATTGCAATGGCATTGCTAATTCTGTGGCATCTAACCTAGAAGCTGATCCTGTATTTCCCACTCTACTGAGATGAGACATGATAACACTTTTAAGTGCTGACTTCTTTTAAAGTTTACCAAGTCTAAGCATCTAATTTAAATAATCACCCCCTTAAGTGAAGGGAGATTTTTAAGGAGACAGTTAAACAAGCAATGGACCTGTGGAGCACAAAGGGAAGTCTAGTGGGGCAGGTGACAAACTTGATCTTCTGAGGCTTGGAGGCTGTTCTCCTCTCTGCATAGACAAGTCTGCTGCATGACCTCAGGCCAGCCACTGAAGTTTTCTGCACTTGGTTTTTCTTCCCAACTTTAATCTGGTCTAACTGGAATGGTGGCAGTGGCTCCATACAGGTATTTCATGTATTCTACTCCCCACAGATTTCATCAGGGCCTACAGTCATCACAGGCTGGAGGCAGGCTCATGCTGTGGCCTTGCCCCGATCTCCTGGTTGCCCAGATCTCAGGACTTGCTGAGTGTCTGAGTGCTCCTTGCCCATCTGCACATCTGTAGTTAGGTACTACTACAACTAACAAAATTTAACACACAAATCAGAAATTCACATATGGGTGGAAAACCCACTGGATTTAAGAAATAGACTTGTGAATTTCTATCTCTGCATATGTTTAGTAGTTTCAGTCAATGGAATTTTTTTACTTTTTTTTTTTAATGTCTTGTAGCCATAATTGTATTAGGAGGTACAACGGTTGTGTAATATAACTGTTTTACATTTGTCCCAGAGTTCCCACAAAGAGCAGTAATTCCTGTTACTGTTTAACTAGCAAGAGTCTATGAAATGACCCATTCTGACAAAAGTCAACAGCACATCTGAGTTCTCCTCTAAAGCATGCTAGGCTAACGGAGATCAAAAGGACCTGTTAATAGGCCAAGCTCAGCAAGAGAGAAATAAGTTTAATTTCCATAATTACTGGGTAATTAATCAAATTGTCTGTGCACAGAAATTGGAAGAGTGTGTGCATTTTTCTAGTTATGGGTATCTGCTGACTGCTTCGGGAACGCAGTTCATTCTGCATCCCAGAACATCAATCTGCCAATTTATTTTGTCAACGAGAAACTGTGTACTGGATCTAGTAATATGCACTGAAATTGTCACTAATTACCTAATTTTGTTCATTTCAAAGTATAATTCCACCATGTTGTGATGGAAGTTACAGGTTTCACCACACTACTTGCTACAAAACTTATAATGGAATTTTTCAAAAATTTCTGAGAAGCTTAAGCAATCCCTGAGAAACTTGTCAACTCAGAGCAAGAAGGATTTATAGAGATCTATGCAGCAGTAGCTACACTGCAGGGGCAGGATAGGGGAGAAATCATGCAGTATCTACAAAGTCACATTCATATACAGCCTTTTTTTTCCCAGGCACTCACTTTGCAGGCCTAGTTACACATCCACTACTCAAACCAAATTGAGTCAGCTGCAGGAGCAGAAGTCTTAGTAAAGGTTCTAGTGTCTGAAACACTTTGGACTCTAGTAATGAACAGTCTTTTTTTCCAATTTATGCAGACTGAGGTAAAAAAAAAAAAAAGGATTGTATAGTAAACACCATGTTCTGGTGTCCTAAACTACCCATTAAGCCTGTATATCTACTAGCTCTGGAAAGCCCATTGAAGTAAAGATTAAGACTTGACCTCCTTCTTCTTACATGGAACAAATTCTTGTTCCTGACAGTTGTTTGTAAGAAAAGCAAATCAACACAAAAAACTTCACCAAAACCTTATAATCTAGGGAAAATCATGTCTGAGTAAGAAGTGCAAGAGGAGGGAACTATCATGCTAAGACACCCCTGGGTATATTCTCTTTACTTATATAAAGCTACTCTGATAAAGGGATAGTGCTAGTGTTTTGCACCACAGAATTCATCAATAATGTCAAAGATAATTTGGTTTTACTGTAAAAGCAAACATGTCTTTCTATAGCTTTCACAGAATGGCTTACAACAAGAAGGCCATTTAAAGGTAATTAGTTGGCATCCCTAATGGTCAACAACAGTTAAGTTTCTGTTGGAGATTGGCTATTTACATTTATCATACAAGTTAATCGGAGTTTTCTTGAGAGAACCTGACAAATCTTTATGTCTGATTCAAGTAAAATAATGGCAGTATTATGACAGTACTAATGCATGTTCTATTATAGAGAATTGTAAAACACACTATGTTTTCCTACCTGGACAAATCATAAATACTGCAGCAGTACAGGGAAATGTTGCCAGAGGTACTCTAAAATAAAAAGCAAAGGAAACAATACTTATGAGCAAACTATCTTTAAATATGCACACATAAGTATATATTTGTATTTTATGCCTTAAAACATACACATATATTATTTTTAAATACACACTTATGTGTAATGGGGAAAAACTGTAAGAAATATTTTTAGTTTTAATTTACTGAGGTAACTCTCCTATCCCCTCCAGAGAGGTTCTAGCCTATCAAGACATGCAACTGTCCAATTTTAAAATACATTCCCTTTACATTTCATCAGGTGCTTCACTGTCATAAGAAAAGAAGGCCAAAGTTGTAAGTTCAAACAAACAACTTCTCGGTCCAAAATTACAACTCAGAGCTTCCCTTCAGACCTCTTCAGGAGAGGTGAATAATTACTAGTAAAATAGAGGCATAAAAGCAGAAAAACTTGTTTGCTCAGTTATGCCTGCATTGCATGATTAATGACACCAGATCATTTGATAATGCAGGAAACATACCTGGAACATTTTTCCTCCTGAAATCTCTGGGACTGGCTCCTCACAATAAGGCAGACTGTGTTCTGAAAAAAATTCCTTCAGTGCTTGTTCGCTCACTTCCACACCAACAACGCTGTGTCCCATGTCTGCCAGCCTGCACACAGAAGAGAGAGGTGCCCAGTTTACATGAGGCCCACAGGTTGGGCCTTTACCAAATATGTCTCTCTCATGCAGCATTTATTGACTAGGGAAACCCTGGTCTTAGGAAGCACTGGTACGCCTAGTCCTGACTTTCTCGACCATTCACATTATATTGAACACCTCCCCTCCATGATCTCAGCTTAAATTAGCACCCCTTGACATACAGTTGACAAGGACTTAGAGGCTTTATTTAAATTCAATGAAGTATTAATTTATTTCTATGGATTCAATGAAAACAGGTGGTCACACAGAGAAACTGTCCATTTACGAAATGTGTTCTGCTCTGAACTGTGGCAGGCTGAGGCACGTTGTCCACCTAGCTGGCTGTGTGGCTTGGCAAGAACAGCCAGCGAGGGAGGTGTGGTAACCTCTGCACTGCTGCAGCTCAGTGCAACAGGAACATACGTCAGAGCCAGCAGTCAGCCTGGAAAGTAGTAACCGTGATAAAATCTGATAACTGGGACTAACTGGATTCCTTGAGGATGCAGCTCAGTCACAGTTTTTCAGTTTGTGCCACCCTCTCCAAGAAAAAAACACCAGCTTATATAGGCCCTAATTAAAAAAATAACCTCTGTCAAAAAAAAGGTAAAAAGAAAATAATAAATATAAAAAAAGAGGAAGTTATATTTAGCCCAAATCATTTACATTCCCAGCATGATATGCTTGCTACATGGTCTCTTGAAAATGTGCTCTGGCACAACCAACCAATTCAAGATGGAATTGCTACCAAAACCAGCAATGGTAAGGACTTCAGTCACTCTGTCATAAATTCAGCATTCCCCAAACTGAACTTAGGACAATGAGGAGCACTTTCAGGTTAATCCTTATCCATCCCATTTATGCTACTATACAAAACACCAGCAAATGAAATCAAACTTCCTCCTCCCTTCAGCTTCCAGTGATGCTGCTTTCCTACCAGTGGAGATGTGGCACATTTCCATTGGCCAGTACAGGGTTGGGAATTCCCCCTCTCCCTCCCCATATCAAATGAGATTTTTGCTGTTGTAACCTGTGTTTTACCATTTCATCTCTACTGCTTTACCACAAAGTGGGAAAAATATCCTCAGTCCACTCTTGCCATTTAAAAGAACATCCAGATACTTCTGGAGGAGCCTGCAGAAGAAGACACATTTTACTTACTCTGCAAGTATTTGTGCTGACACATTAAACACCAAGTGCTACACGCTGTGGCAGGTAGCACACAAACTGCATGATGCAACACAAGTTCTTAGCTCAACCTGCTTCATGCCATTAGAAATAAAAACATTCACCTCCAATTTACTTAGAAAGTAAATTTCATTTCTGTCAGAAATTAATACATTTATGGTTGCTCTATTTTCTGTTTGTCTTTTCAAGTAAGCAGACCAACCCACCCACCTCTAAGAGGGCCATAACAGAGATTTTTAAACAGAATGATTATCGAACTTCTGTATCAATCAAGTCACTCACACAGGACTTGAAAGACTATATAATCAGGTTTGCTTTCTTAGGTCCCTGTTTTCCAGTGCACAGCAGTTGCTCCAATGCCCTCCACATATGTCTTTCAGGCCTCGGTTTCACAGCTTACGAAAAGCAGTGCAAAGCTTCTGCATCAGAAAATTTAAGATTTTTAGCCAAGCTATCCAAGTTTTAAAACCTGATTCAAAAGTTCTAAACTAATTTCAATACTTTTCTCTGTCATTTTTTTGACAATTGTAGGTCACAAAAATATGTATATTTATTTTAGTTTCAAGCTGTGCCCGTATAAAATAATTTTCCTTTTGCAAATGTTCCATTTTCAATTAAGAGTTTCTCAAATGAGTCAAGTAATTAATTTCACAGCATTTCTTAAAACAGCTTAGGCAGAAGAGTGAAGTCACGTACGGATGTCCTTGTTCCTTGTGAAACCCGATGTTACCCACTTCCCATTTTTGTAGCCATTCCTCCTCAGTCACCACTCTCTCTTTCTGTGACCCAATATTAGAGCCTTCCAGGAGCCCGGATGCATTGGCTGAGTGGTCCATCGTCTCCAAGGAGTGCTAGTAGCTGTGAAAAATGAGAGGAAAAAAATACCCCCACCCAACGCATAGTTTGGAATTGGCCCTTACTTCCTCGAATCGAACAAAAATTTAGTGCATCTTAAGAGATTACTGTTTGGCGACTATCGCAGTGTAGCTGTACAGCACGCGAAAGAGCACACTCTTGCTACCGATGGCTTCAGACAGACCCCGTTTCCCGGGGCGAAGCCGGCTGAGCGCGCCCTGTCCAGGCCGCTGGCCTGTCGTTTGGCACCCGTTTGGAAGCCCCCCTACTCCGTCAGTGAGGAGGGAGATGTCTACACTTCTCTCCCTCACGGGAAACCCGCGGGCAGACGGCGGGAGGACCAGCGGCTTGCAGCCGGGGGGACCCGCGGGGTGACCCGTCGGGGCTCAGCACCGCCCCCTCAGCGCCCCCCGCCCGGGCGGCCGCGGCAGCGACGGTACCTGCACGGCTGAGGCGGCGGCGGCGGCGGCGGCGGCAGCGGGTCCCACGAGGCGGCGGGGCCGGGGCGGTGCCTCCCCGCCCTCCCCCTCGCTACGCACCGCGGAGAGCGGAAGCGGCGGCAGGAGGAGGCGGGCTGAGGGTGCACGGCACCGGGGAGGAGGAGGAGGATGGCGCTGGGGATGGCGGCGGCGGTGAGTGACTCCCTCCCTCAGCTGCAGCGCCCACCGCGGCGCCGGCTGCCCCCTCCCCGGGGCGGCGGGGCAGGTGCGAGCGCTGCCCCCGCCCTCACCTCCCCGCTTCTCCCTTCCTTCCCCCTTCTCTGTTTCCCTCCCTCCCTTCCTTCGCTCTTCTCCACCCTTCTTCCCCCCGCCGCAGCTCTAGCAGGAGGCGACGCGGACACGCGTGGATGTGGTCTCCGGCCCCCGAGCGACCCGGCCCCGAGGTGAGTGCCAGGCTCCGGCCGCAGCGCCCGCCCCGCCGCCGGCCGGCAGCCCCAGGGACCGCCCCGCCTGCCCCGATGACAGCCCTGACGGGACAGCACTGCCCCGGGGACAGCCCTGCCCCGGGGCTCCCCTGGGGACCCCGCTCCCACCGCCAGCTGTCACAGCGCGGTCCGGGACGGGGGCGGGCGCTGTCACCCGCGGCCGCGGGGCTGGGCGCCGGCGCTTTACTCGGGGCTGAGTTTTAGAGATGTGCTCGCTTCGCGGTCCACCCTGTCCGTGTTAATCGGGCTGCTCTCGCTTCCTCTCTCTCTCTCTGTCAACGTGTGTGGTTTCTTTTTTTTTTTTAAGGTTTTGGTTTTTTTTTTTTCTTCCCCAAAGACAAACTTGCTGTCAACTGCAGGTAAACCTCACAAAGCTTCCCAGTACAGGCCATGCATTACGGATGGATGAAACATTATCAAATGTGACAGTGTATTATGCATCTCTCTCTCCTTTTAAAAGGCTTATTTTCTCTGCCAGTAAGATAACGTCTGTAGGATAGGATGCAGAGTCATGTAAAGCTTAGTAGACTGTCACGTTTACTTGTTCTCTAAAAATGTGTGGGTTTTTCTGGGGGTGTTGTTTGGTTTCTGAGAGAAAGTGAGGACGAAGTAGCACACAGCTGCAAGTAATGGCCTTAAGCCCATCTCTTTTTCTCCCTTTCTCCCCACTTTCTGCCTCTCCCTCCCACAGTACTTACAGAAAAATATGTCTGTGATTCTGTACAACTGGCCTTTCAAAATGAGAGGCCTCTCAATGTGAAATATTTTTACCAAACTTATTAGTGATTGATAAGTGCTATTTTTTCTAATCTCCTTAATATGCAATGAAACAGCTGCATGTTATTTTACCTTCTTGGATACAGGGCCTGGCAGCAGCGGCAGACTGTAATCACCTGCTGGCCACCAAAATGAGTCACCTGGTGCCTTACTCAGTGTTGAGGTAGTTCGTAGCTTCCAACTGTAAGGACAGTCATATTGCAATGACTATCTACAGTCAGAAGCTAAGGTGATACAGAGAGATACTTTGTGCCACTGATCCAGAAGGGAAGCTTTAGGGGGAAAAAAGCTACCATTTTCTGGCGTGTTACACAGCAGTTTAGGGAAATCTCATGTAAATGAAACTGGTTGGTTTTTCTCCACTCTCCAACCCCATCCACCCCCACACAGTGGTAAGTTATGGTGAAGTGATGCTTTTTTTTTCCTAGGTAAAAAAGGTTGACTTAATTTTTTTTTTTACTCCCTCTACTGAGTTATAATTGGAAGGGGTCCATGCAAAAAAAAAAGTTTATTTTTGTATTGGGTTGTCTGAACTAATTTTTTACTGATGTGAAATATATCCACTTTATGTGGATATCATGTGATTTTTCTTCTTTCCCCAAATAATTTCTTCTATCTCGAGAAGCGAATGAAGCACAGTTTACTTGATTTGCATCAGCTTAATTTGAAATTTTGTGAAAATTCCCATTTTCTCCTCCTGTTACCTTTACTTTGAGCAGAATTTCTGAATGAAGGTACCACTGCTGTGTCCATCACTAACAGCTTGAATAAGGAAAATGCAGCCTGAAATGGGGAGAATTGAGAAGTATCATATACATATATATATTTATATATATAAGTATATAAAAAAGAAACATAATTACAAACAGATTCCTATTATAACAAGATAACATTCAGTGCTGTTGTACAAGGGATTTATTTCCACTTCCTTTCTGTATGTGGTAGAGCACTCATAGATTTAATTCTTCCGCCTGGCTCTTTATTTGTGCTTTACTCCATGTGAAAAGAATGCCTTTGATGACACCATTTTAAATATGCTTTCATATTTCTGCTGCATACTTTCTCACACTCTATGCTTTCCAGTTTATATAGTAAACTGTGGTCTTTTCTGCATTCCTACCAATGCAGTCAAAGACAGCCACAGAGCTCTCTCGTGCCGTAAATCTTTTATTTTCTCCTATAGTACACATTCCAGTCACCTAAAGCTTCAATGCAACTGCAGTTTAGACTTTAAATTCTGATATACATTCATAGGAGGTACTTGCACTTCATGTGCAAGTGTTGGAACTGGTTGTTCACCTGGTATCCAACGTCTCTTCAGTACACTGTTTGGAAAAGCGCTTTATAGAGTGCAAATCTCTTGCTACCAATAAACCAGTAGTTAGCAGGACGAGTGTTGCTCTGAGTGGTATTTGAATGCTTGCACCAGCATTGAAGTGATGTCTGTTCACTTTGCCAACCCAAATTCCAGTCCAGGTTTTCACATAATGCAAATCAGATTATTGAAATCCAGGATATGCTGATCTGGAACAGCCTGTCAAGATGTACTCAGGGATCTAATCTTAACTCCGAATTTAGTTTAAAATAGTAGTATTGTTCCTTTCCCGTAATGCCTCGTTCTCATTTTCCTCCTGAATTAATAGTCAAGCTGAACAGATTCTTACCTAGCTAACTCTGTCAAAAGTAGTGTTATAAGTGAATGTACTGTCCAGCTGATTAGACAGCTCTTCAGAAGCAAGCAATTTAATCTTTTTTATTAACTACTGTCTCCTTTTTTTCAGATCTAACAATACAATGTCAACTGGAAGGGTACGAACGAAAAAAAAGGCATGTTCTTCAGATCAGTCTCCAGACAATCTTCCTGTGAGGAGTTCTGGAAGACAGGTATTTATAAAATTCAAAAACACGTGGGTTTGTACTTTGCTATTTTTTATTTTTTGTTGACATTCATAAAGAAAGCAGGCTTCATTGTGGGTAAGTTAGGCCTTAGAGTACTTACCCACAGAGGGGGAGAATGAGGTAATTCTGTGAATGAGCAGGCAAAGCGTCTCATTTTGTGAATGATATTCAAGAAAGATAAATACTCAATATAGCCTGTTAATGCTTAATACATTAAAAATACAATCACAGATTTCTGTACAGTTAGAAAAAGCTGTCTGCCCAGCCAGACAGAGGCCTAAAACAACACAATACACAGTACCTTTGAGGCCCAGAAGAGACATCTGGTATACAGTTTTGTATAAAAAAAAAGGCCCTAAGCCTGCTATAATATTTTATTTGAGGCACAGATAGGTTTGCCACTAATTGATATCAATAAGTATGCAAAGAGGAGATTTTCTGAAGGAGAAATAGAACGAATGCATTAGGCTTGACTCATTGGCATGTGATGGAGCTTAAAATACAATTTAAACTGGAATTTTTGCTTATAATTTCTTCAATGGCATCAATTAGGCTAAGGCAAGACATTTTTAGCTTTAAATGATATTTCCAGTCTTGCTGTGGGTTTGTGGCTTGCTTTTTTGTGATTTTTTTTTTTTTTTGGTAGGAAAAAACTGACCTAATTTGACAGCTGTTTCATGCTGCAGCTATTTCACAATGGATACAAAGATTTTCATTTCATTTAACTGTTGGATGCCACTCACAAGCTGAAAAACTGTCTGAATGCCACTTTGTAGAAGATGTATTTGTGTAATTTCTGGTCAGATTTCAGCTATTCTTTATTAGGTGAAGAAAAAAGCGGCTGAAGCAGCAGCAGATGATGATGATGAAGCATCAGAGAAGAAATATAGAAAGTGTGAAAAAGCTGGATGCACTGCAACATGTCCTGTTTGCTTTGCCAGTGCGGCTGAAAGGTTTATTTCTTTTTACTTGCGTTTTTCATGGACTTTCTAAACTTGCAGCTGAAGTTTAGGATCCTAACTGTGTTCTGAAAAATTCCTTCATTTCTAAATGTAGAGGGAGAATTGAAAGATACTACTAATAGGAGTCTTAAGATGACAGGAAAGTGTCACAAGTTATTCCTGTTGTGGATGACTTTCTACTGGGCAAGTTGCTAATTCAGATATAGAATATCTTCAGGATGTGCTCACTTATGTTATTAATGGTGCCTTCTGGAACATGCCTTGCTTTTGTGAAAGTGAGAGCGTTAGTGTAAGCTGAGGAAGCTAAACTTGCTTTCAAAATGGAAAATGAAGTGAGCACCTGTGAGATCAGCATTGGTGATAGTACTGTTTTTGTTTAGGAAACAATAGATACTGCTTAGTCATCTTTTTGAATTGTTATTTTAATACTTTGATTTTCACCCCTCTCACCCTCCCAGGTACATACTTTCAACATTTTTTATTTGAGATGAAATCATTTCATGGCTGTTTCAGTTAATAGCTTAGGTCACTGCTTTTTACCTTGTGCATTTATCTTGAACCATTTCGTTAGGTTTAATGAGAGTGTTCTGAGGGAAGAACAGTTGCATTGTCTGATGAATATAACATTTGTAATGGATATTTCTTTTTGAGAGTAATACACAACAAATGCCCAGAATGTTTAACTCCTTCCTCAGGGTTTTCTCTCACTGGGTTGAAATCACAACTCGGTCATGAGAAAATAATAGGCAACATCTGTTCTGTGTTCAGATTTGACTTTATGGTTTTGTCAGTTGTTCTGGGGACAGAACATTGTAATGACTTATGAATCAATTTATCACACGTACAAGAAAAATGGTAATTTAAATAATCCCTCCCACCCCTGCACTAGTGTTAGAACTAAATGGAGCAAAGTAAAGGAACCGTAAGTTCTTGTGAGAGGGACTTTGTCATGTTATACGTTTGCAAGACACTTTGTGTGTCACAGCACATATCTACTCTAAGAG